CCTCCTCCTCCTCCTCCTCCTCCTCCTCCGTAGCCATTTTGGCTCAAGATGCTTTGTTCCACAGGGGAACAAGTGGATATCGCTAGTCCGCGGCTAGTGCCAGGGCTTTTGAGCCCGACAGCTTTGTTCAACTCTCCGTGTGCCTCCTGCAGCCCGCAGGTGAGCTTCCTCTCGTCCCGCCTGACGACATGGGGAAGCATGTGGCGGCGCGTGGCTACGTGTCTTGTCCTCATGACGGTTGTCGCTACAAGTGGAATTGGAAGCGGCACACGACATGCTGGCAGTGCGAAGGTTTTCTGCGTCCTGTCGGGGGCCAACCACCACCTCGTGATGCAGGGTCGTGGAGCCGTGGACCGCCCGCACTACCTGGCGCAGCACAGCCAGGACACCCACCAAGCCCCTTCGTGCGGCCGCCCCCAGGGCAGTGGGCTCCTCCAGGGGCGGCAGCCACGGCGGCCACCCTCGGCGACGGCAGTGCCAACCCGTTCGCTCCCTCGACCGACCAGCTGTTCGAGGCTCTGCTGCGTCGCGCCCCGCAGCATGGCGAGCGCTTGGCGGCGCTCAAGAAGGAGTTCGAGGACGCTCCGCCGCCAGCTGCCGCCGCCCCAGTCAAGCCCAGCCTCGAGCGTGAGACAGAGGCACAGCGGCTGGCAGTGGCTGCTCGCAAGGCCGATGAATCTCTTGCGAAGGCGATCGCTCACGAACAGGAGTGCACCGACTGGCTGGCACGGGCTCGGGCGGCTGTGGAGCAGGCGGCGCAAGATGCAGCCGACGCCAGGCTGGCCCATGAGCAGCAGTTGGAGCAAGACCTCCAGCGCCTCAAGAGTCGAGAAGGTGCAGCACGTGTCGCCGCTGTCGCCGATCCCAAGCCCAAGCTCAACCTGTCCAGCTTTCTCGACGAGGGCGACGAGCTTGGGCAACTGTTCGAGTTCGAGGACGGCGAGGCCTTCGACTTCGCCGATCTGGACCTGGCCAAGGAAGACATCGAGGCTTGGCAGAAGCACAAGATTTCGCTGGCACAGGAGATCAAGCAGGCGATCAGTGCGGCGATTGGCCCAGCAGCTGCTCAACTGGGTGCTCGCAGACAACAGTTCAAGGAGTTCAAGGCTCGCATGGCCTCCAAGCGTCGACGCGTGGGAGCTCAAGGCGAGGCAGCTGCTGAAGGTAAAGGTCGTGGTGAGGAGCAGCCTGCAGGTGGAGACCAGCCTGCTGCCCCTGCCGCAGGCGATGGCCAGGCAGCACCCTCTGCTGGGCAACGCGCCGCGGCCTCGGCAGCAGCCACTGCCGCCGCTGCTGCAGCAGCGCCTCCCTCGCAGCCCCAGGAGGCGGCGGCAAGCGAGGCGCCCCCGAAGGCGAAGGCGTCCCAGGAGCGAGTGCAGCGGGTTCTGGCAGAAGCCAGGGGCAACCCGCCCTCGTCGGCGACCTACGCTGACGCTGCCGTGGCTCCACAAAAGTGCGGGTAGCACGATTCGTCTGTACCCGAAGCCGGGACAATCTCAGAATGCGGCACCAGAAGTTCGACGATTGCTATTGCACAATCTTTCTATGTGGGGGCACAAAGCCACCAAGCTTTTTGCAGAGAGTGATGTTGATGTCATCATCATGCCCGAGACGCACGTGCTGGCTTGCGACACTCCGGATATTTTGAGCACGCTGAAGCAGCACAAATGGCAAGGTATTGTTTCTCCAGCATACCCCACGACCTACGTGAAGAAGGCAGGTGGCATTGTTCTGGGTATCCGTCAGCATCTTTGTTGGTCTTCTTTTCGCCACTTGTCGGACGACCCTGACAACGCGATCGGCTTAGTTGACGTCAACAGCAAGCAGAAGTTATCGGGGCCCTTGTCCTTCAAGGATGTGGTGGCGGTCGAGTGGAAGATCGCCAGAGTCCCGCTGCTAGTGATTGGTGCTTATTTGACTGTCTCAGTGGGGTTGGAAGCACCCATCAATGTCGCAAAGCTTCTCACTATTTCGGCGCTGTTGGACAATCATGCGGGGCCTTGGATCATCGTGAGAGATTTCAACGCTACCCCCCTGGAGATGGCCTCATGGATTCGTAAGTGGAATGGACATTTTTACCACCCACCTGGCATCACCCACACGTCCACGAGGGGCAAGGGGCAGCGAATCATCGACTATGCTGTGGCTTCTCAGGACTTCTCTACACTTTTTCATGATGCGATCCAGCTGGATGCTGAGGGTGGTGACCACTACGGCATGATTTTGGAGTTGAATGTTTCTGCACAACAGTCTGCACGTCGAGTCCTGGACCTACCGAAGATGTTCCTGTCACCGCTGCCCACCAAGTTAAAGGGTGACCCCAACAGCAAACGGTCGAGGAAGAAATTGGAGTTGGAGCGGCGACGGCAACAACGCGCTCTGGACCACTCGGAGGATCTCGAGCAAGAACTTCCTGAACCCGAGTCTGAAGACGAGGAGTTCCTGGCGCAACCTCAGCAGGCCAGCTCATGCACGAAATACCCAGAGGAGGCTCGCAAGTTTCTACATCGAGATTTTTTCGACTTCGACTCCGAGGCGCTTCAGCAGATGTGGCAGTCGCATATTTATGACCACAAGACTTCCGAGGTCAAGCCTGTAGCTCAGGACTGCCACCCAGCCAAGTATTTAGAGTGGAGGGTTGAAGATCTGGATAAGCTTTGGGCCACCATTGACAACAACACTCTCCAGCACTGTGAGTGGACCCTACCGCCAGATTGGATACAAGACAGCCTCTCGTATAAGTATGATCCCGAGACTGCTATCGAGCTGGGATCAGACTACGGAAGATTTACGTCAGTTTTTGAGAATTTTCTGCGTCGTGTACTTGAGGTACCACCAGATCGAGCTTGGCATTACAAAGGTCGTGGAGTTGCGAGGGAATTCAAAACTTTGCCGATTTCAGCACCCGCGCCAACAAGAGCGCATTCAGATATGTCAATCAAGTGGTGGCTGCAAGTTTCTGGTTGGATTCAGGAGCTTATTCGAGTCTCTCCCAGTGGGACCCAGCAGCACTTCGAGGAGTTCTCTACTGCAGCAGGTGGTGACTCCTCCCCTCTTCCCCCCGTTTTGCTCAGCCCAGTCTCGAAAAAAACAAGTCAGGACAGCATCGAGAAAAGACTTCTTGGTGCATAGGTTGGCACAGGCTCCTGCTGGCATGCCACTTTCAGGTTTCGGCCAGGTAATAGGCAGAGATCGGCAGGACTGGGCCAGTACACTTCTTAACATTCACAATCTACCGAGAGAAGCTCTCATTACGATGGGAGCATCAGCGGATAAGATTGCAGCAGCCCTGGAGCGTAAGGCGGCCAAGGAGAGTTACTGCGCTTTTCAATCGTGGATTCGAGATTCTTTTGCTCAAGGCTGTGGGAAGTTACATCGGTACGTTAAGCCCAAGACGCGTGTTGAGACAGAGTACCGCGACCTGAAAGGAAGTTCCACGAGCCTCAAGGATATTTTGGTCCAGAAGAGTCAGCTTTGGCAACGCAAGTGGGCTTCCAAGATTTTGTCAGTGCAAAGGTTGTTTCAACTCCTTCGACGGGTTCACGCTAAGGCAGCAGCACAACCCTGGCCAGCTCTGGAGCCTGAGCAGATCGCCATCACAGTCAAGCAGATCAACTCCAGCAAGGCCGCAGGCATCGAGCAACTGGGCGGTACCCTCAAGTATTTACCTCCAGCTGGCATTGCTCATTTGACGGGGTTTTTGAATGAATGCGAACGACGAGGAGGCTGGCCTTGGCAGATTCAGATTGCTATTGTTGCTCTTTTGAGGAAAGGCGCTGACACTGATCGTTCAATTGGTCTTATCCCAGATTTGATACGCTTGTGGAGTTCAGCCAGACAGATTTTTCCTTCTGAATGGGTCGAGCAGATGGCTGGCAAGTGGGACAATGCGATCAGAGGCTCTTCCTGCTTGCGTGTCGGACTTCTACGAGCCTTCTCTGACGAAGCCATCAGCATGGGGCCCAAGCACACCGTCTCGGCGAGTCTTCTGTGGGACATCGACAGCTTCTACGACTCGTTAGAGTACGAGCGCCTGTTCGAGCAGGGCTTGGCCCTGGATTTTCCGCCTTTGATGTTGCTGATGGAAGGGCTGGCTCATCTCATAGTTAGAGTTTTTCGTGAAGCAGGGTGCTTTTCACCACCAGTCCAGGCCAACAAGTCCATCATCGCAGGAGCTCGTAGAGGGGTCGATTTTGGAAGATTTTATCTCTACAGTATCCTTGAAGCTGTGTACAACAAATACTCACCGTCGGTCAGCACGTCGTCTTGGGTTGATGATATCACTCAGTATGCGTATGGGTCCGTCAGGTTCCTCTCCCAGGCGCTCACCAAGGCTGGGGTTCTCTTGGGCAGGCTCTGCAACAAGGCGCACTTGAGTATCGCTAGCAAGAGCAAGATCATCGCGGGGGACCCTGAATTAGCAAAGGACATTGCGCGCAAGTTGGCACAGCACAACATTAAGATCACTGTAGCACAGAAAGCAGTCGATTTAGGCACTGACAGAGGCACGAACATGCGAGCACGGCCTAAAGCAGCAGCACGTCGCAAAGCAGCATGGAAGCAAGTAGGCCGAGCTCGGAAGCTTATTGGAGCAGGCAGAACAGGCAGAGCAGCAGCACGGCGCGTGATACATCGAGGATGTTATGCAAAAGTTCAGTATGATGCAGCTGTGTACGGTATGAGCCCTTCGGCAGTGCAGGCTTGGCGCAGAGCTATAGGAGGCACTTTCACTCTGTCGGTCCGTGGCAGGTGCCTCGACACTCTTTTACAGCTGGAGCTTGGAGATCAAGATCCAGCAATCTCGCAGGTATTTAAGATGCTCGACAGCTGGATGGCCATTCTTGCGTCAGGAGCTGAAGCACGAGCTTTTGCAGCACGAGATTGGTCGCAGCACGTGGCTAAGGCTAGAGAGATTCCTAAGCATCGATGGCGCAGAATCACAGGCCCCACCAGAGCTGTAGTAAATACCCTTCTGGACATCAACTGGGACCCCATTGGACCTTGGCATTGGGTTTCTGATCTTGGGAACGTCTATCAGGCTACTCCAGAGGTCCTTGAAGCAGGTCCACTAGATCTAGATGATATCCGCCAAGACCTAGCCGATTCAGTTCGTCGGGTTCTTTGGAAGCGAGCAGCAAAACATTATGAGAGCGCTGATGTTGCTAACGGAGTAGACCTAACTGATGTACGACAGCAGCTACGACGAGCTAGAGATAAAGACCAGCTTAAGTGGGCAGGAGCTTTAGTCAACGTCTGCTGTGGTGGTCAGTGGGCTAGGGAGAGAATTCAAAGCATCATCAACCCGCCTGACTTTTCTGTTCTTTGTGATCGCTGTGATGGTGGACGACCAGAGTCTACCTTCCACCGAATTTGGGAATGTTCCGCGAACGACGCCTTGCCCTCGACCACCAGCATCGAGGCTTTTGTGCACCGTGCTCGCACCCAGGTGGATTCACAGCCGTCAGTGTGGCTACGAGGCCTCACTCCTTCGTCGTGGACACAAGTTTCGCAGCCGCCCGACGAGGCTGACATTTTTGTGCACAGCCACGGCTTCTTCCCCGACGGCACAGACCTGATCGTCGGCGCAGGTGATGCCTCAGGGGGTAAATACTCGGATCAGGCCAGATTCAGGAGAGTGTCTTGGGCTTATGTCGTCTTCGAGGAGTTCGACCTAGCGAACCCAGCTCCGTCCCTGGCCTTGTCAAGGGTGTCCTCGGGAGCCACTTGGGGACCCCAGACCATCAATCATGGCGAGATGATAGCGCTCTTGAGGTTCCTGGAGGAGGCCCCTGTGGGCCGACCACTCGTCTTCGTCACGGACTCGTCGTATGTCCAGAAAAACGTCAGTAAGGTCCTCTTGGATTTCTTCCCTACTGGATTTAGGAACGAGTGGCGTCGAATTCAGCGGCTTCTTCAAGAGAAGCCGACCAGCATCACCAAGATCGAGTCGCACATGACTCCAGAGCAGGCTGCAGAGAAAAAGGAGCTTGTCTTTGCGTGGGTTGGCAACAAGGCAGCTGATGAGTTGGCTGAGCACACGGCCAAGAACATACAGTTGCAGGCGGGGGAGGTGGAGGCGGTCCAGATTTCTGAGGCCTTGACGCGTGCTGTGAGAATTCGGGCTTGTGAAGTTTTCCTCTCGAGATTTTCGGAGGCCTCTGGAGACAATCCCCAGGCCCCTAGAGCTCGCAAGAAAGCCAAAGCCAAGCCGAAACCAGCCGTCCCTCCTCCTCCTCCTCGAGCCTTCAACCCTCGCCCCAAGTTAGCCAAGCAGCTTAGGGAGTCGGCGCACAATATGATTCCTGTAGGAGAGGGTCCTGATTCGAGGCTCTTTTGCAATTCGTGTTGTTCGGTCATTTCTGTTAACTCGCACGGAAATATTCCGTCCCAGGAGTTTCTTGCCTCCCCGTGTGTTCCTGCGAAACCCCGTTCGGGATTTGAGGGAGCGAAGTCTCTCCACAATGTGTACATTGGTGCCAGGTATGTTGACCCGTCTCATGATATGGTCATGTCTGCCAAGGGTACCTACATATGCCTGACCTGCGGCTCCCACGCCATAAGAGCGGGTCAGAATCTCTTCAAAGAATGCAAGAAGGCCACTTCGTCAGGGTCGGCCTATCTTGCCAAATTCACAAGAGGGGAAGTCTAGCTTCCCTACCTGTCTGCCTCCCTTAATCCAAGGGCAGGCTACCTCTCTTTTTAGACTGACCAACGGTCAACTGCGTGGGTCCTCCTCTCTCCTCCTCTCTCCTCCTCCTGCTCCTCCTCCTCCTCCTCCTCTTCCCCTCCGCCTCCTCCTCCTCCTCTCCTCCTCCTCCTCCTCCTCTCCTCCTCCTCCTCCTCTCCTCAGGGGCGCCTCCATCCACCTTCTCCTCCTCCTTCTCCTCCTCCTCCTCCTCCTCCTCCTCCTCCTCCTCCTCCTCCTGGTGCCAGTCGTGGGAAAGGCGATGCTGTCTACGATGGATGACCTCGCCAGATCCAGCATCGGCACCACACCCCTTTACACCACAAACCCCTTCCCACCCCAGAGCGTTTGGAGTCCCGAGACAACGGTGCGGTGACAGACCGTGCGGTGACCTCGAAATCCCCCAAGACCTCACCGCACGGTCCGTCAGCGCACGGTTTTGGGACCTCGGATGCCCCAGTCGCCCGAGACGTCCTCGGAGAACGACCCGAGTCCCAGAACCGCGCGGTGACCCCGAATCCCACTGACTCACCACACGGTGTGGTCACCATCCGGTTCGGGGGCCCCCGCCACCCCCAGAGTGGGCCCAAACCGAGGAGGAACGCCGGGATCGGAGACAATCACATCGCCGGAGATCTGGGACAAGAGCGGGCACCCAGCACCACCAAGCCTTCTCACGGGCTCACCCCTGGGGCTCGGCTCTGGGGCGGGCGGCGGATAAGGCTTCTAGAGGCCTCCTAGATGGGGTCCGAGTAGATGGGGTCGGAGGAACTCGCCGCGTCGCCGATGCATCGTCGGCGATGCCTCGGCGATGCACTGGCGACGTCGGCGATGCATCGAAAACGTCGGTGTGGAGAAAGTGGGCCCCACATCGGGCCGCATCGGCGCTGCATCGCCGATGCACCGGCGATGTGGCACGATCCTCCGACCCCATCTACTCCGACCCCATCTGGGAGGTCTAGAAGGCTCCTGGCCTGGCCTGGAGCCGATGCGTCCGCCAGGATGTGGGCTCCAGCCAGGTCTGTGGAGGCGCAAGCTGAGCGGTGGTGCGCGGCTGCCCAGACGCTCTGACGATCTGTGCTGTCATGTCGCGGCGTGTGTCCTTGCTCTTGGCCTCGGGGGTCCGTGAGTGGGACCCGAGGCCATCCAGGTGCTCGGGAGCGGCCAAGAGGGGGGTGTCCGAGAGGGGGGGGTGCAAATCATGACCGGCGGCATGTGCGCGGCCCAGCGGGGGGGCCAGGAACGTAATGAAATAAGAAGAGGCGCCATGAAACCTGGGGAAAATATCACGGCCCACGCCATGATATCCACCCCCCCTTGTCATCACCCCCCTCTTTTCCGCCCCCGAGATGCATCCGGGGCGAAAAAATACACCCGGGGAAGGGGGTCGGGAGCTCTGGGGCCGCAGACCGACAAGATCAGATCGGCGGATGCCAGGGCCTGCTGCTCTCGACGAGCGGTGGCGGTGATGGTGGTGAGTGGCGGAGTCCTTGCTCTCCTCCTTCGGCCCCAATGGGGTAAGCGGGAACGGGCAGGGGGGGGGGGGGGCTACGTTTTGCACTCGCGGTTGTACCAGGGATGGCCTCTGGGCTCCCGAGCCTCAGCCTCGCAGGGCCGGCTCTTGGGAGGGCCTGGCCTGGACCCACATGCGGGGGGCACCGAGAGGGGTCCTCCTCCCGTGCCCAGACATCCCGCGCCTCGATTTCTCGGCCACCTCCCCCGACCTTCCTCATCCCTCGTCCTCTTCAATCAGAAACTCGTGCCTGCTCCCGTCTGCCCCCAGCGCTTGAGCCTCCCGGGCGGGGGCCTGCACGAGAGAAGCGCGCGGATCACGGGCGACGCCGTGTCCGTATCCGCGCCCTCGCGGTCTGCATTCCCGGGCGCGATCCCGCGGATACGCAGCCGCACGCATACGTGCCGCGCGGGGCATCCGTGAAAAAACGCCACGTATCCGCGGGGTCGCGGCCCAGGGGTGCAGCCAGCGAGGCCGAGAACACGGATACGTTTTTCGCCCATGCGCGGACCAGCGCTATGCGGCGCTCTGCTCAGGCCAGCGGGGGCGACTTCGGCGCCCAATCTTGTGGGCGCTCTGGTTAGCGCGCGCATTGCCCAAGACTGGGGAAAGCCGACCGTCACGATCTTCTGTGATGGAGGAGGTGTGGTTTGGCGTTTCGTAGTGGAGGGAGGATCGACGGAGGGACGAAGAAACGTGCACCCGTCCTTCGTCGCTTGGGCCCAGAAGGTTCCCTCGAGGGCCCCGAAGGACAAGTGCACCTTCCTTCCGCCCCCCCGTTCCACGTCCAGCGTCGCGGTTTCTTCGAGACACGGGCCCCCGACCTCTGGACCACTTCTCCGGGACCTGTTTTTCACTCCGCATCGTGTTCTGACGGCTCCGAGGCCCTGTGTGAGGGCCCCGAAAGACCGAACACGATGAAGAACCGTGATCTCGATGTCTTCGAGACGCCCGATGTCGAAGTCTGGGTGTACAGTCGGGGCGTTGACCTAAGGAACCCTAAATAAGGAACGAGGACCTTTTTTTCCAAAAGTTGAACTTCGATCTCCGATCGAAAACATAAGGAAAACCTGAGGCAAGCTGCGAAACACTTAAGGAACGCGGAGCCCCTCCCCAACGAAAAGGGTTCCTTCTTCAGGGCCCCGACTGTAACGATCCGAGTCCCAAAACCGTGCGGTGACCCCGAAGTCCCCACCGACTCGCCACACGGAGTGGTCACCACCCCCGTTTGCGGGGCCCCCGGCCCGGGCTCGCCGCCGCTCGGGGCCCAGCCCAGCGGGGCGAGGCCCTGCCAAGGGCCCCGCGGCGGCCTGCGCGGCGAGGCCGCTCGTGTCTGAGTGTATCGCGCACCCCACTGCGCAACGCCCGATCTGGGCACCACGCGCTCACGCTGGGGTGGCAACTTCGGCCTCCAGCGCCGGGCGCGGGGAGCGCTTCTGCCGCGCATCGGCGGCCTCGGGCACCCTCTCCGGCACCTCCTCCGGCGCGGGCTCCTGGGCCGGCCGGCCGCAGGATCGAAGAGTCGCCCGTCGGCGCAGGTGCCTCAAACCCAGACCCCCTCGAGTCATGAACAAATCAGGACGGAAGCTGTTTTGTTCTTTTTGGCCTCGGGGGGCCTTCACCTGGCCTCGGGGCCGCTTCCAAGGGAATGGGTCCTCCGGGTGTCTCATAACACTCTTCCAGTCCTCTGACCTGATGCCAGTGCCAGCGGCGAGGGGAGTCGGACTCGGAGATCCAAGGTGCAGAGACCGCACTGGTCCATGGGTCTGTGGCCCCCAAACATATGATTGGTCCACCTCCTCCGCATCCCTTCCCGCGCCCACCATCCCGCCCTCCTCCTCCTCCTCCTCCTCCTCCTCCTGGCGCGGAGGTTCCCGCCGCCGAGGCGGCTCCGGAGGCGCCCGCCGCCGCGGAGGCGTCGGCCGTGGAGGGCGTGGCCACCGAGGCGCGCGCCGCCACGGAGGACGCCCGCGAGGCGGCCGCTGCTGACGGCTCCGGAGGCCTTCCGTGGGGCGGCCGTGTTGCTGCCGCTTCTGCCGCTGCTCCCTCCTCCTTTTCCCCTCCTGCTCTGCCCCGTTCCCTTTTGCCTTGTCCTCTCCCCTCCTCCTTCTCCTCTTCTTATTCTCCTCCCCCTCCACCCTCCTCTGCCCCTCTTCATACTCCTGCCCCCTCCTCCATTCACTCCTCCTCCTCCTCCTCCTCCTCCTCCTCCTCCTCCTCCATTACTCCAACCCCTTCGTCCGCTCCCTCTCCCTCCTCCTCCTCCTCCTCCTTCTCCTCCTCCTCCCCCGCTTCTTATTATTATTCTTCTGATAATAATTCCTCCTCCTTCTCCTTCTCCGCCTCCGCCTCCGCCTCCGCCTCCTCCTCCTCCTCCTCCTTCTCCTTCTCCTTCTCCTTCTCCTCCTCCTCCGCCTCCTCCTTCTCCTTCGCCTTCTCCTTCTCTCTCTCCTTCTCCTTCTCCTGCTCCTGCTCCTTCTCCTCATCCTCATCCTCATCCTCCTGCTCCGCCTTGCCTGGACCACCTGATGTCCATTCTGCATTCGCTGCGTTTGCTGCTGCCCTTCCTTCCCCGACCCCCTCGCGTAGTGAAACAATCGCGGCGGAAGGTGTTCGGCAAGTCTTGGTCTCTCGAGTCCAGGTCCTGGCCTCATGATTAACAAAAACAATACAGCATCAAACACTTACCCCATTGAAAGGGTCGAGATCCCTGGGCCCTCCCCGCCACGAACAACTTGCGACGTCGGAGGAGAAGGTCTTCCCTCCTCCTCCTCCTCCTCCCTCTTCCTCCCCCCTCTTCTTACTTGCTTCTTCCATCCTTCCCTCCCCCTCCTTGCCTCCCTCTTTTTGGTTCCTCGCCTCTTCCCCTCTTCTTTCCTTTTTTCCCCCTGTTCTACCCCTCTATTCCTCCTCCTCCACCTCTCATTATTCTTCTTCTTCTCCTTCTTCTTCTTCTTCTTCTCCTCCTTTTCTCTTCTTCTTGTTCTTCTCCTCCTCCTCCTCCTCCTTCCTTTTCTGATTCTTCCCTTTTCCACAATTTCACACTATGAATACTACTCTCCTTTCTCCCCTGGTGGCGTCCGGGAAATGTTCGTCCTCCCCTCCGCGTATTGTTTTTTACACAGGATTCCTGGGAGTTGGGTTTTCGTTTTTTTTTTTTCTCTCAAAATGCTGCTCTCGCTGAAGCGCTGGCTTCATTATCGGGCTACCGCTCGTTCCGAATCGTGCTCCAGCTGCAGCGCTAGCCTCATTTCCGAGCTTCCGCTCGTCCCGAATCGTGCTCCCACTGCAGCGCTGGCGTCATTGCTTCTAATGCCATGCCACGGCATGGTTTTCGGTCCTTCCAAATAGGGCCCAACATCTAGAGCATGGCCTCCCTAAAAAAACATCGGAAGTGATTTCACATTCGGTGTCGATTCGTGGATGTTTCGGCCCGCAGAAGCCCCCCCCCACTTTGGGGCGTCGCCACGTCATGTTATGTCATGCTACGCGTTGATCTTCAACACCATGCTGTGTTGTGTGATGCTATGCCACCTTGCGAAATCCGATTGTGCGAGTAGAGATGAGATCTACGCCATTATTAGGGCTGGGAGGGAGGAGTAGGGCGTCAGATATGATGCGAGCGCACCTAGCGTGTTCTCCTCCTCCTCCTCCTCCTCCGACTCCTTCTCCTCTACCTTCTCCAGATTCCCTCGCCGCTTGATGCTCGGTCTGCATCCGCTACGCTGTGGTTGGTGGTCTTTCGTATTGCGCCCAGGGCGTAGTATTCGTCATGTGCGTGCTGCCGGGAGTGCGTTCCTGTGGCCGTTTGTCCTTCGCATCAGTTTCCCTACTCCTCGTACCTCGGCCATCCTCCCTCTCCCCATCTTCCCCATCCCCTGCTGCTGACACTGCTCCTCATCTTCGCCCACCCCCTTCTCCAGCTTCCACACTCTCATCCCTCCTTCTCCTGTGAAACATGGGCGCAGTGCTCGGATGTGCGCCAAGGACGCGCTGAGGCGCGACCTTCCCTTGTTTTCTAAACGTCCGCGCAGCAGGAGCATTGACAGTAGCAGTCCTCCTCCCCCCATCCTCCCTTCCCGATCCCTGCCTCCCTCCTCCCTCCTTCTTCCTCCTCCCTGCCTTCCTTCTCCCTGCCTCCCACTTTTTCTCTCTTTATCCTGCCTCCTCCTCTCTCCTTCCTGTTTCCCACCTCCCCCCTGGAAGAGAACTGTGGCCTTTTCATCCTGGCTCGAGTGTTAGTTCTGTCCCGACAGAACTATGTACTGCCGGACACTCTCTTGGAGCGTGGGCCTTGGGCGCTGTGAGCGCTGCAGAGCTGTACACAACATGCAATCATATGATATAGGCTATACGCTGCTATATGCCCCACTGCGAACCTGTGTACGGATGGGTGAGCAGGCTTTGCCCACCTTGCTGCACGCTACTCCTATATCAAATCTTCTTGCTCCGAGGTCATCGCCAATGATAGGCTGCCTCTGGACACTTTCCTTCAGGATCCCAGCCAGACTCGAACTGTACACGAGCCTGTGACATGGGAGACGGGACCAAAATATGCCCCCCCTAATTTGGGTGGAAATAGGGCCTTTGAGGGCGCCCTCAAAAGTCACAGTTGCAGCCTTCTCAAGTACGGCAGCGTGAGTGCGATGACAGGAAAAAACCATAATATCATCTTGGATTCTGCCTCGTTGTCTCATTGAATACATTCGGGCCCGATGCTCTAGCTCTTAGCTGTTGGACGTCTGCCACAGACAGCTTCTGTGAGCAGGCGGGGCATGGAAAGAACACGAGCTGAGCGACACTTTTTGGTGAGATAGCTTCACGTCGTCGTTGTCGTCGTCCGTCGTCCGTCGTCCGTCGTCCGTCGTCCATCGTCCGTCGTCGTCCGTCGTCGTCGTCGTCGTCGTCGTCGTCGTCGTCGTCGTCGTCGTCGTCGCCTCTTCGGAAGGTGCCACCGCCAACGCCTCGGGGAACGCCTCGGAGGTGCAGGCCGAAGAGAACCAGAGCAGGGCCAACCTGTCCACGTACTTCGACCCCAAGCTGATGGCCATCTTCCGTGAGAAGCAGGCGCACCTGAAGGAGACGATGAAGGATCTTCGCCGCCAGAACCAGAAGGTATTCACACCTACCGCGTCTGACCTGTGATCCTGTGACCTCGAGGAGTGATGGATGCGGACCTCTGCCCGCTCCTGCGGGTAGGCCAATGTCCACATCCACCGTTCCCCAGGGATCGGGGGCCAGACTCCAGAAGTGGTGGATACCGATGGGTCTTGGCGGTGCAGGATTTCATGGTGTCGAAGAAGGAGCTGGACGTGGCCAAGCTGGCCGCGAACCTGGCGATGAAGAAGCTGAGGCTGGCGACCGAGAAGCGGAGGAAGATCTTGATGGGCGAGAGGATGGCCGAGGCCGAGGAGCGTCGGGCGATCAAGGAGAACCGGCGACAGGCCAAGACGGACATGATGGCGCGCGCGGAGCATCTGCTGGAGGACTCTTTGGGTGGCCTGGCGGGCGTCAACATGAGCTATATGGTAGACGTCGTCCTGGCCCTGCCGGAGGCGCTGCAGGACGAGGAGTTCGTGGAGGATTTCCGCAACGTGACAAAGAGGGTGGATGTGAATGTCCGGAAGTTTCTGGACCAGACGCAGCAGAAGACCACCCAGTTCGTCAAAGACAGCACCTCCGCCTCCGACGTGGAGTTGCGCTTCATCATGGCGAAGTTCTTCCACGAGTCTGGCTTCCGCCTCCGAGGGCTCCATCAGGACAGCCTGAAGGCCATCCAGATGCTCAGGCGCACGGTGCCGGAGGACTTGGAGAGGGCGCTCTTCCCGTTCCTCGGGCAGCTGAACGCCAACACGGTCCGCCTCAGGATCAATGCCACCAGCCTGGCCACCGCCACCCCGAAGGAGGCGTGCGACCAGATCACCCAGATCATGGCCAACGTCAGCGATTATCGAAGACGCCTACGGCAAGTCCCGCCACCGTGCCAGGCCAGCATTCGTGGTGGCGACTGTTCTGAGGCACCGTCAGCGGACCTGGCCTCCTGGGGGCCTCTTGGGAGTCGTTGGAGAGCTCTCGGGAGCCTCTTAGAGAGCTCTTGGGGCCTCTTGTGGGCGTCTTGGGAGCGTCTCCAGCCCTCGTAAGGGCTCCGTCTTAGAGCGCTCTTGGGCCGTCTGGCGAGTTCTGAGTCCGTCTTGGGAGCCTGTCAGGGCCGTGTCTTGGGCCAACCGGCCGCTCTCTGCATCAGTCTTGGGGATCTCTTGGGCTATCTTTGAGCCCTCTTGGGCAGTCTTGAGGCCATCTTGGAGGATTGTTGGGTCGTTTCGGGGCCCTCTTGGGTTGTCTTGGGTCTTTGGGCCGTTCTGGATACCTGAAGGGCCGTCTTGAGCTGAACCAAGCCTGAAAAGGTGAATACCTCCGAATCTTTCAAACACATTCGGAGATCAATCATTCTTGATTTTTTCGAGCCTAACGGGGGGTTATCTTGTCGCCCTCTTGGGCCGTCTTGGGGGCTTCCTTGGGCCTTTTTGAAGCCATCCCTGGCCTCTCGAGGCCGTCTTGGACGCCTTGGAGGCATCTTGGACCATCTTGCGTTTTTGTTGAGGGATCGTAGCCCCGGGAGCGCTGACCCGTAGTTCTCTACGAGGAATTGGGGCCTCGGGAGCGCGAGTTCATAGTTCCCCAAACAGTGCTTGCACTTAGGAGTTCTTATTTCTTTTCTAAGGATCTGGGCCTGCTTGTCGGTATGGAGGGAACGTGCTCACCGTCGCCGGCCCGTCGCCACCTCGTCGCCGCCCGCCTTCTGGGAAAGCCGGTCGGTTTGACAGCTATGTGGTCGCCGTCGCCGCCCCGTCGCCGTTTGGGCTTGCGTTACTTTTGCATTGCTTTGCGTTACTTTGCATTGCGTTGCATCGATTGGCGTTGCTTTTTTTACGTTGCTTTGCGCTGCTCTGCATTGCTTTGCATTGCTTTGTCTGACTTCACATGGCTTTGCATTACATGGCTTTGTATTGCTGAGCATTGCTTTGCACTGTTTCTCACTGCTTTTCGTTGCTCCGCATTGTCTTGCATTGATTTGCATTAGTTTGCCTTTGCAATGCTTTGCATTGCTTTGCATTGCTTTGCATTGCTTGACGTTGCTTTGCATTGCTCTGTACTGCTTTGCATTGCGTTGCATTGCTTGGTTTGGCTTTGCATTGCTTTGCATTGCTTTGCATTGCTTTGCATCGATTTGCATTGTTTGCACTGCATTGCTTTGCACTGCTTGGCATTGCTTTGCATTGCTTGACGTTGCTTTGCATTGCTCTGCACTGCTTTGCATTGCGTTGCATTGCTTGGTTCGGCTTTGCATTTCTTTGCAATTGCTTCTCCTCGCTTGGCATTGCTTTGCTTTTCTTGGCATAGCTTTGTATCGTTGTGCATTGCCATGCGTTGCTCTGCAGTGCTTCGCATTGCATTGCATTGCGTTGCGTTTCGTCGCATTACTCTGCATTGCTTCGCATTGCTTTGCATTGCTCCTCATTGCTCCGTATTGCTTCGCATCGCTTTGCGTTGTTTGATGCTGCTTCGCATTGCTTGTTGCTACTTCGCATTTCTTGATGTTGCTTCGCATTTGTTGGCATACGGCTTAGCATTGCTTTGCACTGCTTCTCACTTCTTTTCGTTGCTCTGCATATCTTCGCATCCTTTAGCATGGTTTTGCATTGCTTCGCATTGCTTGGCATTGCTTCGCATTTCTTGATGATGCTTCGCGTTGCGTGATGTTGCTTCGCATTGCTGTTGTTTGGCTTGCATTGCTTTGTGCTGCTTTGCATTTCTTTGCGTTGCTCTGCGTTGCTTCGCGTTGTTTTGCATTGTTGCGTTGCCTTGCATTGCTTTGCATTGCTTTGAATTGCTTGGCATTGCTTCGCATTGCTTCGAATTGCTTGGCATTGCTTTGCATTGCTTGGCATTGCGATGCGTTGCTTTGCATTACTTTGCATTGCGTTGCATTGCTTTTCGTTGCCTTGCGTCGCTTTGCACCAGATAGATCGCCCTACATGGATTGCATCACCTACATTGAACCACAATGATTGCACCACCTAGACTGCACCGCAAATATTGCAAGGCATCTTTGTTTGGGGTCCACGCTGCCTAACATGTCTTTGAAGAGGGAAAGGTGGGGGTACGATGCATGCCCGTGAGTGTAATGAGAGGAGGGCCGGGTCCTTTTAGGAGGTTGCAGAAACCCTACCAGGCAGCCGTTGGCATTCTACAACGCTTCAACATGTGAGGGGGCACGATGGCGGATGACAGCAAGCTCGAGACTATCGGCAAGGTGATCGAGAACGTGTCCACGAGGGTACTGCCCAACATGGAGAGGATGCTGCAGGTCTCCCCGAACATCACCACCTTTGTGGGCTCGTTCCTGAACATGGCGCGCCTCGAAGTGGGCGGCCTGCAAGAGGCGGCCCACAGCATGGTCACCAGGGCCAGCCCCATCATCGCCGAGCGGGTGCAGTGCACCTTCAGCAGCGCGCGTCCGCGCGTCGGCCTCAGCCTCCTCAGCGCCGTGGCGGTGCTCGCGGCCACCTGGCTCCTGCAGTGAGGGGCTCGTCTCACTTTGTAGTTGCCATGGCTCCATCTGTCGATGCAAGGATAACTTTTGCCCGTTCATGATTTCTCTGCGGGGTGATTCCCTTCATGTGCGCGGGTAGGTGGGTGGCTGTGGTGATAGGAAGGGGGGGAGGGAGGGAGGGAGGGAGGGAGGGAGGGAGGGAGGGAGGAGGGATGTGTGGACTGAGACAGGGCGTGTGGATTGGTTGTGTTGGGGTTGGGGTGGGGTGGGTTTGGGTGGGTGGGTTGGGGTGGGGTGGGTAGAGGGTCCACAGGTGGGCACTTTGGCTCAAGTCACGTCGCCCGAGACCCAGCCCAGCCCGTCTACCGAACTTCGGACCTCTTATCTAGATGGCGAGGAAGATCTTCCTTACGCTCTTCGCCTCGACGTCCGTTGCCTCCTCCCTGACGCTTCAATCCGGAGAGCTGTCTGAAGATGACTCCGCGCCCACGGCTTTGAGTGCCCTCCTCTCGGAGGCGATGGGTCTGCTGCAGGAGGCCGATGACGCGCAGGTCTTGGCTGGCGGCGAGATCTCTCTCCTCAGCATTGACGATGCGGCTGACGAGGCGAACGAGGACCCTGAGCCTGCCGCGGCCGAGGAGCAGAGCTCCGCAAGCCCGGTGGCCAGCACCGGCAATGCGACTGACGATGCGCCCGCCGCGGAGGCTCCTCTGGCGGCACAGGTCGAGCGGGCGACGGAGGACGCCAACGCCTCGGGGAACGCCTCGGAGGTGCAGGCCGAGGAGAACCAGAGCAGGGCCAACCTGTCCACGTACTTCGACCCCAAGCTGATGGCCATCTTCCGCGAGAAGCAGGCGCACCTGAAGGAGACGATGAAGGATCTTCGCCGCCAGAAGGTATTCACACCCACCGCGTCTGACCCGTGATCCTGTGACCTCGAGGAGTGATGGATGCGGACCTCTGCCCGCTCCTGCGGGTAGGCCAATGTCCACATCCACCGTTCCCCAGGGATCGGGGGCCGGACTCCAGAAGTGGTGGATCCGGATGGGTCCTGGCGGTGCAGGATTTCATGGTGTCGAAGAAGGAGCTGGACGTGGCCAAGCTGGCCGCGAACCTGGCGATGAAGAAGCTGAGGCTGGCGACCGAGAAGCGGAGGAAGATCCTGATGGGCGAGAGGATGGCCGAGGCCGAGGAGCGTCGGGCGATCAAGGAGAACCGGCGACAGGCCAAGACGGACATGACGGCGCGCGCGGAGCAGCTGCTGGCGGACTCTTTGGGTGGCCTGGCGGGCGTCAACATGAGCTACATGGTAGACGTCGTCCTGGCCCTGCCGGAGGCGCTGCAGGACGAGGAGTTCGTGGAGGATTTCCGCAACGTGACAAAGAGGGTGGATGTGAATGTCCGGAAGTTTCTGGACCAGACGCAGCAGAAGACCACCCAGTTCGTCAAAGACAGCACCTCCGCCTCCGACGTGGAGTTGCGCTTCATCATGGCGAAGTTCTTCCACGAGTCTGGCTTCCGCCTCCGAGGGCTCCACCAGGACAGCCTGAAGGCCATCCAGATGCTCAGGCGCACGGTGCCGGAGGACTTGGAGAGGGCGCTCTTCCCGTTCCTCGGGCAGCTGAACGCCAACACGGTCCGCCTCAGGATCAATGCCACCAGCCTGGCCACCGCCACCCCGAAGGAGGCGTGCGACCAGATCACCCAGATCATGGCCAACGTCAGCGATTATCCAGCTGCCTACGGCAAGTCCCGCCACCGTGCCAGGCCAGCATTCGTGGTGGCGACTGTTCTGAGGCACCGCGAGCGTACCTCTTGAGAAGCCTCTCAGGGCCTCCTAGGGGCCTCTTGGGAGTCGTTGGAGAGCTCTCGGGAGCTTTTTAGAGAGCTCTTGGGGTATCTTGTGGGCGTCTTGGGAGCGTCTACAGCCCTCGTAAGGGCTTCGTCTTAAAGCGCTCTTGGGCCGTCTGGCGAGTTCTGAGTCCGTCCTGGGAGCCTGTCAGCGCCGTGTCTTGGGCCAACCGGCCGCTCTCTGCATCAGTCTTGGGGATCTCTTGGGTTATCTTGAGGCCCTCTTGGCCTGTCTTGAGGCCGTCTTGGAGGATTGTTGGGCCATTTTGGAGCCCTCCTGGGCTGCCTTGGGGCCGTTCTGGGTGCCTGAAAGGCCGTCTTGAGCTGAACCAAGCCTACCCCCAATCGTTCAATCACATTCGGAAGTTAACGGTTCTTGATTTCTTCGAGCCCAATTGGGGATCCTCTTGTCGCCTGCTTGGGCGGTCTTGGGGGCCTCCTCGGACCTTTTTGAGGCCACCTGAGGCCTCTCGAGGCCGTCTTGGCCGCCTTGGAGGCATCTTGGACCATCTGGCGTTTTTGATGGGGGATCGTAGCCCCGGGAGCGCGGACCCATAGTTTTCTACGAGGAAGTAAGCCTCCGTAACGCGAGTCCATAGTTCCCCAAACAGTGCTTGCACTAAGGAGTTCTCATTTATTCTCTAAGGATCTGGGCCTGCCCGTCGGTATGGCGGCTATGTGCTCACCGTCGCCGCTCCGTCGCCGCCTCGTCGCCGCCTCGTCGTCGCCGCCCGTCTTCTGGGAATGCCCGTCGGTCTGGCGGCTATTTGGTCGCCGTCGCTGCCCCGTCGCCGTCTGAGCTTGCGTTACTTTTGCATTTATTTGATCGCTTCGCTCATTCCGCCGGCCCTGGAGCCCTCTTTAGGGCCTCTTGGGGGCTTCTTGGGGACCTCTTGGGAGTCTCTTGGGGCTCCTTGGCGGCGTCTTGGGGGCCCCCAGGGCCTCTTGGGGGGCTCTTGGGGGCCTCTTGGGGCGGGAGGGGGGTTAGTCGATTGCGGCTCTCCCCTCGGAGTTCACGATCCTCGTGAGGGGTGTTAAAAGTTGGCGCTCCCTTGGAGCGCTCTAGGGACCTGACCGGGACCTGACTGGGACCTAGCCGGCGTACTGTTCGTCCGGGGGCCCCCAGGGGCCGCTCCGCGCGCGCGAACTAGAAATATTGTTAACCAGTTACCAGAGATCTTAGCACGCCTCTGGCCCGTTGGGCCGGCGAATTTGCGTTGCTTTGCATTGCGTTGCATTGATTGACATTGCTTTCTTTGCGTTGCTTTGCACTGCTTTGCATGGTTTTGAATTGCTTTGCATTGCGTTGCATTGCTTGGTTTTACTATGCATTTATTTGAATTGCTTCGCATTGCTTCCCATTGCGTCGCATTGCTTTGCATTGCTTTGCATTGCTTTGCATTGCTTTGCATTGTTTTTCATTGCTTTGCATTGATTTGATTGCTTTGTATTACTTAGTGTGGGCTCGTATTGCTCGGCATTGCTTTGCATTTCTTGGCATTGCTCTGCATGGTTTTGCATTGCTTTGCATTTCTTTGCGTTGCTTTGCATGGCTTTGCGTTGCTTTGCTTTTCGCCACATGTATTGCTCTACATGGATTGTACTGCCTGGATTGCACCACATTGATTCTCCTTTCTTAAAGAGAACAGACTCTCCCCCCCGGGATTATCGCATCCCAATTTCGTATTACAATTTACATATGATTCTGCCCCATCGTCCATCTTAAATATGAGTTCATACCATCCCAGCCCATCCGGTATCGCCCCCCCCCCCGCCATCCTCTGCAAAATATGCTATGTGCGCACATTCGTTTATCACACATCATAAATTTCCAAGAATCCCTTGCAACAAAGAAGTGCACACGCGCATATCTTCGCGCGCGCATGCCGAAATCCTTCACACACCTTAGGTTTCGCAAGGATTTCAAAATCGAGTGTCCAGAACACATATAAAAACACAGGGTTTTGCAACACGGGTTTCCCAAACAAGCTTGTGCGCGCGCTCTTGCGAATTCTTAAGAAAACCATGAGTTTTTCAACATCTTCATAACATGCTACCAAACAGGCTTCGCGCGCGCATGTCGAAATCGTTCGAACGGCCTTGCGCGCGTGCTGGGGTGGTACGATCCGTGTCAAATTACACCATGTGGGCCACTCTCGCGCGTCCGCCGCGCGCGCATGTCGAACTCCTTCCAAAACCTTCATTGCCGACGCGAAGACACCGTCATCGTCGTCGGCGTGATCCGCCTCGGCGCCGCTGCCCCGTCGTCGCTGTCAGCATCGTCGCCAGCATCGCTACTATCATCATCGTGTCTACCGATGTCGACGTTGCCATGATACCGCGCCTGCCCAAGTCGCCGACTCGCAGTGAAGTGCCCGCTGGGATGTGCCGAGCGGTCAGCGCCACCGCGTTCGCGTCGGTCGCGCCAAACTGGCTGGCCGCTGCGCGCGCGAGCATGGGCGGGCTAGCGCGGCTGCAGAAATGCACCAGCCAATACCAAGCATTCATCGCAATCGCTGCCGCATGGTTTAACCAAATTGCGGGTGCGTGAATGAGATGATTGCGCGAGCAGTGGGGTTGACAACTTCAAATTCGGCAGGTGAAGTCTCCTTTCTAAGAATAGAATAGACTCTACCCCCCCCGGAGTTGTCGGCCCCCCCTTTCGGGTATGTAAATAATATAGGATTCTGACTACATGTCCATCCTAAATATGAAATCGCAATGTCCCAGGCCAGCCGGTATCCCCCCCTGAGGTTCCCTTGTAAAAACATTATGCGGTGACATTATTTGTCCTAGCATCGCACTTTTTTCGCGAATCCCTTGCAACGAATGAGACGAAGTGCACACGCGCGTCGTCGCGCGCGCATGCCGAAATCCTTCAAAAACCTTCGGTGCCGGAGCGATTTCGCAATTGAATTCCCCAAAAATACATACAAAAACATAGGGTTTCGCAGCACTGATTTGCTAAAAAAGCTTACGCGCGAGCTCTTGCGAAATCTTAAGAAAACCATTGGTTTTTCAATATTTTCACAACATGCTACCAAACGGGCGTCGCGCGTGCACGTCGAAATCACGCCTTTGCGCGTGTGCCGTCGCAAGAATCTTGTGCAAAAAAAAATGACGGAATTCAGACGCGCGCGTCGTCGCGCGCGTGCGCCGAAATCCTTCAAAATCCATCGGTTTCGGAAGGATTTCAAAATCGTGTGTCCAAAAAACCTACAAAAACACAAGGTTTCGCAACACTGATTTTCAACAAAAGCGTGCGCGCGCGCTCTTGCGGCGTCGTCGTCGTCGTCGTCGTCGTCGTCGTCGTCGTCGCCGTCCTCCCTCCTTCCGCGTCGTCGTCGTCGTCGTCGTCGCCTGCGTCGTCCTCTGTCTTTCCTCGTGTTTGTCGTCGTCGTCCTCTTTGGCGTCGTGGTCGTTTCAGTCGTCGTTGTCGCCGTGGTCGTCCTTCCTCCTCTCTCGTCGTCGTCGTCGTCGTCCGTCGTCGGCGTCTCGTCGTCGTCCGTCCTATTTTGTCGCCGTCGTCGTCGTCGTCGTCGTCGTTGTCGTCGTCGTCTTCCCTCCTCCCTCGTCGTTGTCGTCGTCGGCGTCGCCGTCCTTCCTCCTTCTTCGTCGTTCGCGTCGTCGCCGTCCTCCGTCCTCCCTCGTCGACGTCGTCGTTGTCGTCGTTGTCGCCGTCGCCGTCCTCCCTCCTCCCTCGTCGTCTTCTTCGTTGGCGACGTCGTCGTCGTCGTCGTCGGCGTCGGCGTCGTCGTCGTCGTCGTCCGTCGTCGTCGTCGTCGTCGTCGTCGGCGTTGTCATCGTCGTCGTCGTCGTCGGCGTCGTCGTCGTCGCCGTCGTCGGTGTCGTCGTCGTCGTCGTCGTCGTTGTCGTCGTCGAAGTCGTTGGAGACGTCGTCGGTGTCGTCGTAGTCTGTATCCGCGGCGCCGTCGTCGTCGTTGTCGCTGCCGTCATCGGCGTCGGTGTCGTGGCCAAGTGCCATGTGGTACCTACCGTCACGGTCTTGTCTTAAGAGGTCTTGCGGCCAAGTTGCGGGTGGGAGGGTGGGATGTTTGCACGAGCAGTGGAGAGGACAGCTTCAAGACGGTCGAAGTGGATTTCACCACATAGACTGCATCGCAAAGATTGCAAGACACCGTTGTTAGGGGTCCACGCTGGCTGACATGTGTTTTAGGAGGGAAGACGGGGGACAATGCATGCCCGTGAGTGTAATGAGAGGAGGGCCAGGCTTCTTTAGGAGATTGCAGAGACGCTACCAGGCAGCCGTTGGCATTCTACCACGCTTCAGTGTGCGAAGGGGCACGATGGCGGATGACAGCAAGCTCGAGACCATCGGCAAGGTGATCGAAAACGTGTCCACGAGGGTGTTGCCCAACATGGAGAGGACGCTGCAGGTCTCCCCGAACATCACCACCTTTGTAGGCTCTTTCTTGAACATGGCGCGCCTCGAAGTGGGCGGCCTGCAAGAGGCGGCCCACAGCATGGTCACCAGGGCCAGCCCCATCATCGCCGAGCGGGTGCAGTGCACATTCAGCAGCGCGCGTCCGCGCCTCGGTCTCAGCCTCCTCAGCGCGGTGGCGGTGCTCGCGGCCACCTGGCTTCTTCAGTGAGGGGCTCGATTCATTTTGTAGTTGCCGCAGCTCCATCTGTCGATGCAAGGAGAATTTTTGCCCGTTCATGATGTCTCTGCGGGGTGATTCCGTTCATGTGCGCGGGTCGGTGGGTGGCTGTGGTGCTAGCAAGGGGGGGAGGGAGGGAGGGAGGGAGGGAGGGAAGAAGGGAGGGAGGGAAGGAGAGGGAGGGAGGGAGGGAGGAGGGATGTGTGGACTGAGACAGGGCGTGTGGATGGGTTGTGTGGGGGTTGGGGTGGAGTGGGTTTGGGTGGGTTGGGTTGAGGTGGTGTGGTTTCGTGTGGTGGGTTGTGTGTGAGTGTGCGTTGTAGATCGATGGGTGAGAGTTCACATGTGGGCACTTTGGCTCAAGTCACATCGCCTGAGACCCAGCCCAGCCCATCTACCGAACTTGTGCTTGCGGACCTCTTATCTAGATGGCGAGGAAGATCTTCCTTACGCTCTTCGCCTCGACGTCCGTTGCCTCCTCCCTGACGCTTCAATCCGGAGAGCTGTCTGAAGATGACTCCGCGCCCACGGCTTTGAGTGCCCTCCTCTCGGAGGCGATGGGTCTGCTGCAGGAGGCCGATGACGCGCAGGTCTTGGCTGGCGGCGAGATCTCTCTCCTCAGCATTGACGATGCGGCTGACGAGGCGAACGAGGACCCCGAGCCTGCCGCGGCCGAGGAGCAGAGCTCCGCAAGCCCGGTGGCCAGCACTGGCAATGCGACTGACGATGCGCCCGCCGCGGAGGCTCCTCTGGCGGCACAGGTCGAGCGGGCGACGGAGGACGCCAACGCCTCGGGGAACGCCTCGGAGGTGCAGGCCGAGGAGAACCAGAGCAGGGCCAACCTGTCCACGTACTTCGACCCCAAGCTGATGGCCATCTTCCGCGAGAAGCAGGCGCACCTGAAGGAGACGATGAAGGATCTTCGCCGCCAGAAGGTATTCACACCCACCGCGTCTGACCCGTGATCCTGTGACCTCGAGGAGTGATGGATGCGGACCTCTGCCCGCTCCTGCGGGTAGGCCAATGTCCACATCCACCGTTCCCCAGGGATCGGGGGCCGGACTCCAGAAGTGGTGGATCCGGATGGGTCCTGGCGGTGCAGGATTTCATGGTGTCGAAAAAGGAGCTGGACGTGGCCAAGCTGGCCGCGAACCTGGCGATGAAGAAGCTGAGGCTGGCGACCGAGAAGCGGAGGAAGATCCTGATGGGCGAGAGGATGGCCGAGGCCGAGGAGCGTCGGGCGATCAAGGAGAACCGGCGACAGGCCAAGACGGACATGACGGCGCGCGCGGAGCAGCTGCTGGCGGACTCTTTGGGTGGCCTGGCGGGCGTCAACATGAGCTACATGGTAGACGTCGTCCTGGCCCTGCCGGAGGCGCTGCAGGACGAGGAGTTCGTGGAGGATTTCCGCAACGTGACAAAGAGGGTGGATGTGAATGTCCGGAAGTTTCTGGACCAGACGCAGCAGAAGACCACCCAGTTCGTCAAAGACAGCACCTCCGCCTCCGACGTGGAGTTGCGCTTCATCATGGCGAAGTTCTTCCACGAGTCTGGCTTCCGCCTCCGAGGGCTCCACCAGGACAGCCTGAAGGCCATCCAGATGCTCAGGCGCACGGTGCCGGAGGACTTGGAGAGGGCGCTCTTCCCGTTCCTCGGGCAGCTGAACGCCAACACGGTCCGCCTCAGGATCAATGCCACCAGCCTGGCCACCGCCACCCCGAAGGAGGCGTGCGACCAGATCACCCAGATCATGGCCAACGTCAGCGATTATCGAAGACGCCTACGGCGAATCACCGCCGCCCCCTGCCTTTTTGGAAGCGCCTATGGGGCCGAACGTTGAGGCCAGACCTCCCAAGCTATCGGACCATGTGTTCCCCGAATCGGTTTGGAAAGCCTTCGGGGAACATGTGCGCATCTTGAAGGTCATCTTGGCCGTCTGGAGGCCATTTTGACCCTTTCGGGCCTTCTTGGAGGACGTCTTGAAGGGCTCTTGGGCCGTCTTGGAGGCCATCGTGTTGGGCCGTCTTGGGGGCCTCTTGGGGCCGTGTCTTGGGCCTCTTGGGCAATCTTTGGGGGCACTTGGGCCGTCTCGGGCCGTCGGAAGGCAGAAAAAAAGCAAATGCCACAATCCTTCAAAAACCCATGGGAAATCAATGATTTTGGCCTTTTCGGGCCTTCCTGGAGGCCCTCTTGGAGGCCTCTTGGGCCGGCTTGGGCTATCTTAGGGCCATGTTCGGCCGTCTTGGTGGGCTTCTGGTCCGTCTGACGCCGTCGGAAGCTTTTTGGGGGGCCCCTATGGGCCGACTTGGGGCCCTCTTGGAATGCTCCAGGGCCGTTTTGGAGGCCATCTTGGGTGTTAAAGGCCTCCTGTGCCGTCTTGGGGGCCTCTTGGGGTCGTCTTGGGGCCCTCTTGGGCCGTTCTGGGGCCATCTTGGAGGCCTCTTGGGCGATCTTTCGGCGATCTTTGGGGGCTCTTGGGCCGTCTCGGGCCGTCGGAAGGCCGACAAGAAGCACATGTCAAAATCCGTCAAAAACCTTAGGCAAATCAATGTTTTTGGCCTCTTCTGGCCTTCCTGGAGGCTCACGTTGGGGCCTCTTGGGCCGTCTTGGGCCAGCTTCGAGCCAACTTCGGCCATCTTGGTGGGTTCCTGGCACGTCTGACGCCGTCGGGAGCCGTCTTGGGGGCCTCTCTGGGCCGACTTGGGGCCCTCTTGGGGCGCTTCGGGGCCGTCTTGGAGGCCATCTTTCGCGTCTTGAAGGCCTCTTGGACCGTCTTGGGGCCCTCTTGGGGCCGTCTTGGGGGCCCCTTGGGCCGTCACGGAGCCATCTTGAAGGCCTCTTGGGCGATCTGTGGGCGATCTTGGGGGTCTCTTGGGCCGTCTGGGGCCGTCGGAAAGCCGAAAAGGCGGAATGCCAAAATCCTTCAAACACCAAAGGAAAATACATGATTTGGCCTCGTCGGGCCTTCCTGGAGACCTCTTGGAGGCCTCTTGGGCCGTCTTGGAGGCCTCTTGGGGGTCTCGTGGGCCGTCTTGGGCCATCTTCAGGCTATCTTAGGCCGGCTTGGGTACATCTTGGGCCGTCTTGGAGGCATCTTGGGGCCCTCTGGGCCGTCTTGGAGGCCATCTTGGCCGTCTTGGAGGCATCTTGGCCGTCTTGGAGGCCATCTTGGGGCTGTCTGGGGCAGGAACACCGTTTGCAACCACCTCTTCCGGGTGGCCGGCGGGACGTGACGAAGCCCCAGGGGGGAGTTCTTCTAGAAAAAGAACCAACACCAAAAGCCATGTCGTTCGGCACGCCAGGCACCCCTGCGATGAGTCGACAGGGGGCGGCGGACCCAGCTGCCTGCGGCAAGTCCCGCCACCGTGCCAGGCCAGCATTCGTGGTGGCGACTGTTCTGAGGCACCGCGAGCGGACCTCTTGAGAAGCCTCCCAGGGCCTCCCGGGGGCCTCTTGGGAGTCGTTGGGGAGCTCTCGGGAGCTTCTTAGAGAGCTCTCGGGGCCTCTTGTGGGCGTCTCGGGAGCGTCTCCAGCCCTCGTGAGGGCTCCGTCTTAGAGCGCTCTCGGGCCGTCTGGCGAGCCCTGAGTCTGTCTTGGGAGCCTGTCAGGGCCGTGTCTTGGGCCTTCGGGCGGCCCTCTGCATCAGTCCTGGGGATCTCTTGGGCTGTCTTTGGGCCGTCTTGAGGCCGTCCTGGAGGATTGTTGGGCCATTTTGGGTCCCTCTTGGGGTGTCTTGGGGCCATTCTGGATACCTCTGAAGCCGCGTCTTCGGCTGAATGAAGCCTGAACAGGTGAAAGAGCCCCAATCGTTCAAGCACAGGAAATTAGTCATGTTGGAGTTGTTCGAGACCAGTTTGTGGTCCTCTTGCCGACTTCTCGAGCTGTCTTAGGGGGGCCTCTTGGGCGGTCTTGAGGCCACCTTGGGAGGTCTTGACGCAGTCTTATTCACGTCGCAGGCATGTTGGACAATCCTCGTTTTTTCAAAAGGGATCGTGGTCTCGGGAGCGCGGGCCCATCGTTTGTCACGAAGGATTGCGGCTTCGCATTTGCTTTGCATTGCTTCGTATTTCTTTGCATTGCTTCGCATTGCGTTGCATTGCTTGATGTTGCTTCGCATTGCTTGGCATTGCTTTGCGCTTATTGGCATTGCTTTGTCTGCGTTTGCACTGTTTTGCACTGCTTTGCGTTGCTTTGCATTGTTTTGCATTGTTTTGCATCGTTTTGCGTTGCTTTGGGTTGATTTGCATTGCTTTGCGTTGCCTTGCGTTGCTTTGCGTTGCTTTGCATTGCTTTACGTTGCTTTGCACTGCTTTGCATTGTTTTGCGTAGCTTTGCGCCACATGTATTGCTCTACATGGATTGCACCACCTGGATTGCACCACATTGATTCCAACACCTAGACAGCGTCGCAAACTTTGCCAGAACTCACTGTTTGGGGTCCGTGCTGGCTAACATGTGTTTCAGGAGGGAAAGGGGGGGATGCCCGTGAATGTAATGAGGAGAGGGCTGGTCCTTTAAGACGATTGCATATACCCCACCAGACCGCCGAACGCATTCTACCATGCCTCAACGTCCAATGAGGCACGATGGCGGATGACAGCAAGCTCGAGACCATCGGCAAGGTGATCGAGAACGTGTCCACGAGGGTGCTGCCCAACATGGAGAGGACGCTGCAGGTCTCCCCCAACATCACCACCTTTGTGGGCTCGTTCCTGAACATGGCGCGCCTCGAAGTGGGTGGCCTGCAAGAGGCGGCCCACAGCATGGTCACCAGGGCCAGCCCCATCATCGCCGAGCGGGTGCAGTGCACATTCAGCAGCGCGCGCCCGCGCGTCGGCTTCAGCCTCCTCAGCGCTGTGGCGGTGCTCGCGTCCACCTGGCTCCTGCAGTGAGGGGCTCGGTTCATTTTGTAGTTGTCGTTGGCAACGGGGCAAGGTAGCCTCATAAATTATGCTCCGGGTTGGCAGCTTCACTGGCGAATGCAGTCGTAATGTAGCTGTCATTGTGCTTTTGGGAAATGGGCCATCGTCGCTGATACCTCCACATCGCAAGTCGTCTAACGCGTGAAGGGCGCGTACCAGAGACTGCCAATTAGCATGGCGCGTGACCAAACTATGTGCAGGTGTGCGTACCGCACGGCTAGGGGCGAAAGAGCCGTAGATCGTTTGGGACCGCGGGACGTGTGAAGGGTGTGCCAACATGTGCTTGGGGACGCATGTGTTTCCTGCCACTGCGGCCTTCGGTGGAGCTCCCTATGAGGCCATGAAGCGTTTGAGAGGTGCACCAACACGGGCCTGGGGACGCACTCGATTTCTGCCACTGGCCTTGGGTGGAGCTCCGTATAGGGCCACGAAACGTGTGAGTGGTGCTGCAAACATGGGCCTGGGCACGCGATTCCTGCCACTGGGGTCTTCGGTGGAGTTCCCTGGGAGGCCACGGAACGTGTGAGGGATGTGCCAACATGGTCCTGGGGACGCATGTGATTCCTGCCGCTGGGGCCTTCGGTGGAGCTCCCCATGGGGCCACGACGCGTGCGAGGGCTGCGCCAACATGGGCCTGAGGACACATCTGCCACTGAGGCATGACGGTGATGGTGGCACATGCGGACATGCGGAGGGTAAATGCAGGGAGGGGGAGGCGCAGTGAGAGCGCGGGGCACTGCTGATGCAAAACGAGGACTCAACACCACATGATGGTCGGAAGCAGCACTGCCTAGTCTGCTGGTTGCAGTGTCTGCGTCAGTGGAAACACGGGAAGGGGAGGTGTAGGTGGATGTACCGTGGGGGTCGGTAGGAGAAGTGGAAAGGCGAGACAGGGCAGGAAGAGGGACGGGGTATGAGCCGATGATGAGGGAGATGTATTTAGACAGGACTCTTCTCTCTCTCTCTCTCGCTCTCGCTCTTTCTCCCTCTCTCACACATTTTTACATTTAATATTTTTTCTCACTCAATCTCTCTCTCTCTCTCTTTTTGTTTTCTCTCTCTCTCTCTCTCCCTCTCTCTCTCTCTTTTTCCGTGGTCATTTTGGCTCAAGGTTGTGGTTTCTCGCGAGGTAACAGTGGATACCGCAGATCCGCGGCAGGCAACACTGTTCAGTCTGACATCCCTCTTTCCACGCCGTGCTGCCCTGCACGGCTACTCCCTCTCGCACGGCGGCCCTACGCTTCCTCACGTCGGTTGCCCTCGCGTTCCAATGGGCGGTACCAAGCAGCAGCGGCAGGCAGCTGCTGAACCGTGGTATTGCAAGTGGTGTACGCATGCGCAATGTGGCACAGGCTCGATCAACAAGGCTTATCACATGTGGTGCTCGCAGTGTGGCTTACCCAAGGGAGGTGCGTTCAAAGGTGTACCCACCTCGTGTCTCTGGGAAACGCTCTGCGCAGATGTCTTCCCAGCGGGGGAGCGGCCTTGGGGAAACGGCCCCCTGAGTCGCGCAAGCAGTTTCGGGACATGCAACGTGGTGGCGGTAGCGGTGTTGACAAGCCACGTCCTGGGACTGCCAGTCCTCCCTGGGCTAAGCCCCCAAGGATCAGACGCAGTGGCGGCCCAGCGAGGTCGAATTCAGGAATTCAGTCCGGTGGTTAAGTTATTCGGAAGCAGTGAAGGCGAGCTCCAGGCTACGTGGATCGCCGGGCGTGACCAGCTGGCGGCAGACCTGTGGGCCGACCGGCCCATCGACGCGAGCCTGCGGAGAGTCATCGCGGCGGCCAGAACCAGGAAGAGCGGTTGCACGGCAAAGTTGGGAGCCGCGGGGCTGGTTTTGCAGATGGCTACGCGGGCTGTCGAGGCGGCTGGGGCGGCGGACGCCGCGGCATCTGCCCACGTCGTCGGGTTTGAGGACTGGCTGCGGTCCGGGGTGGGTCCCGTGACCTCCTTCGGGCCATCTGCTTGCAAGCCCACGCTGTCGGCCATTTCACCAGGATTTGAGGCAACGGTCGCCCAGTTCGATATCATCGAGCCCCTCGGTGGCCCGCACAAATTCGCGAGCGACCTGGCAGGGATGGCAGCCGTGGCGAAAGCTAAGCAGGCCGCAGCGGAGATGCATGAGCAGGAGTCTACAGCTCGTGCAGCGCATGTGGCGGAAAAAAGGGCGGCTCTCCCCTGTGGGACTTCCTGTTCAGCTGGGCCCGTCCGACAGCTGTGCGACCCAGGCGTAGCTCGACGAGTCTGCGCAGGCGCAGTACATTTGACGCCTTGGATGCAGCGACCTGCCGCGAGCATCTCAAAGCTTGTGGCATCGAGGTGCCCGTCGGTGGCGGTGATGACCTCCCAGTTTCTGGGCTGCGTGAGAAGCTCAAACGGAATCTTCTGACACCAGCCCCTGTTAGCAAGAAGTTCAAGGCAGCGCGCGTCGTGGCGTGGGTCGCTGAAGGTCCCCAGCTTGAGTTGTTGTTACGCAGTGGCGGCGTCCCGCAGGCACCGTAAGGACTCCAGCCAGTTTTCTTTCTGTCGAAGGAACCCTGGCCTTGCTGGTGACGATGGCGCTGGAGCGGCCGGGGTGGCTCTTTGGGCGTCGATCTTTCCAAACTGATTTCCAATCTTTTCAAGGTTGGGCGCGGCCTGTCGCGCAGTGACCTTCGCGTGCCTGGCGGTGCCTGGCGCCGACAGGGGCGTCGTGCCCCCCCTCCGCTCCAGTCTGGTGGCGCGTCTGCTGACAGCTGTAGAGGTGGTGGGTGTGTCGCTGATGGCTCGCGTCCCGCGACGCTCACTCCCGCTCCCCAGCGGAGGCTGGGTGACGAGGTGCCCCATGTTGTCCTTGGTGGGGTGTCGCGTGGGTCTTTTTTCAGCGGGTTGCCCGCGTGCTTCGATGGGGCGCGGGCGTGCTGGCGCGATTCAACGTCGGGGTCACGGCGCCGCTGGGGGCCCGTGGGCGCGTCGTCGTGTTGGGCAAGCTCGTCGCATCGCATGTGATACCTCTTTTACTTTGGGTTTTTCTTTTTCAGCCCACCTTAACTGCAATGAAGGGTCAGGCCCTGCTAAACTGTCGCTTCCTTGGCGTTTTGCTCGATAGTTTGCGGTTCTAAATAGCTTGCAGGTTCTATGGGTCATAGGGGCCGCGTGGAACATGGAGCTTGACGTCCTCGACCAGTCCGGATGGATCGAGGCCATAGGCGGGGGCGCGCTGGTTGCCCGCGGGCCCCCATGCAAACGCGCGGCCTCAGGATCCCGCGCCGATTTTTTCTTCTGTAGTTGCTCGCTGACCCTAAGGACCCCGCCCCCCCCTCTTTCGACGGGGGCGCCTCCCGTCCCTCGCCTTCCCGCGGGGCTTCAGTTTTCGACCGGGTCCGCGCGCGTGCGGGCCGTGGTGCCCGAGATTTCGAAGGCCTTCCCAGCCCTGCCATCAGTCTGCTGCGCCCGGCCGCCAATATTTCCCCGGCGGGCAGTGCTGCGGCGATCTGCCAGCCAAGTTGATGATTTCGATGCTCTCGCCTGTTTCTGGGACTTGGACTCTGACGGGGTTGGGCGGGGGTCGAGCGGGAGTTGGCGTTTCGCTGGGGCCGTGTCGGGACCTCGGCGAGGGCTCGTTTTGGCCGTGGGGGTGCTCTGGGGGCCTAGTGGCGAAAGCTAGTCTGCCCCCCGCCCCTTCTGGGGCGCGGGGCCCGCAGAGGGGCCCGCGCGCTGTGGCCTTGGCCGCCGCTCTCTGGTGGGCCAAGCATGTGACCGAGATGCGCCAGTTTGTTGTGCGCGAGGGGGGGCAGCTGCAGTGCGCCGATGCGCTTTGCCCGCTCGCAGAAGCACGGCGCGCCGCTGTGCCGGGGCGCCCAGCTGATTTCGCGCAGTTCCCGAAAAACAGAGATGGCGGTTGCAAGATCCCCGAGAGCTGTTTTCCAGTGGCTTCGGCGCGGTTGCAAGAGACAGCAGTTCCGACGAGCTGGTCCGCGTTCGCACCGGGGCCCAAGCGCATGATCCAGGGGTCCCAGAGTCTGACCGCCAGCGCGCGGAGGCAGTGGCCAGGGGTGCTCTCGGCCCAGGGGCCTCCAAGGCTCATCGGCTTTCCAAGGTCAAAGCTGTCCAAGAGGTGCTCGGCCACCAGGTCAGGCCCATTCCGCAACAGTTCGCCGGCGACGAGTTGGAACCCCAGGCGGGGGTTTGCATGGCGCGCGGCAGGTCGAGGCTGCGCGCCCCCAGAGGGGCCGACAGATGGCCCGTGCTCCCGAATGTGACGGGGGATCGAGTTTACGAGGCTGCCTGCGCATGCTCTTCCAGGGCGGCCGCGGGCCCCGTGGGAATCCGTCCGCGCTCCTTGATTCCGCTGCCGTCTAAGGCCCGCGAGGCCATCGCCGCGCTATGCAATCTGGGCGAGAAGTATATTTTCTGCCTGGCCAGCTGATCGCGTCTGCAATGTCGCGGTCGGGGCCGGGTTGGCCAAGCCCGAATGCGGCGCGCGGCGCGCGCCTCGCTGCCTCGCTGCGCTCATGCGTCAATGGCAGGTTGTGTAACCCTGCCACGTTCGAACGGCAGGATCGCGACGATTGTTTGGAGCTCTGGGAAGGGGGGGGGCTCGGAGGCGCCGCAGTTCCTCGGGCAGAGCTTCCACGTGCGTGCAACCTTGCAGCTGAGATAGCTGGGCTGGTCGGTGGCGTGTTCCTTTCGGCTTTGCTTGACGTGGTCAGGTTATTCGAGGCG